GTAATATGAAGTGGTGGATTTCCTTATGTCTTTGTCACCTGCAAAGTCAGAGTCTACAAAACCCACCAAGTCAAGTGTATTATGCCTTTTACAGAAATTTAAACCAACATTCAGGGTACCATTAATATACCTTAACACTTCCTTTAAGGCAGTCCAGTGCTCACTACCTGGATTTGCCATAAATCTGCTCAGTAAGGAAATGGAATAGGACAGGTCTGGTCTGGTACTGATCATCCCATACATCACAGATCCAATAACATTTGCATAGGGGACAGATTCCATTTTGATTAACTCAGATTCAATTGTAGAGCATTGACTCTTGTTTAACACAACATGGTTTGCAAGAGGCATGGACATTGGTTTTGAATCAGCCATACCAAACTTAGACACTAATTTTTCTAAGTATGATTTCTGCCTAATGATTAATTCATGTTTACTCCTGTTCCTGGTAATGTCCATTCCTAGGATTCTTTTTGCATTTCCTAGATCCTTCATGTCAAATTCTGACCTAAGCTGTCCCTTTAACTCATAAATTTTAGACTTATACTTACTCACCAGCAACATATCATCCACATACAATAAGAGATACACAGGCAGATTATGATTCAAATTAAAATAGAAGCAATTGTCATATCTACTCCTAGTGTACCCTATGCTTACAATGAAATTGTCAAACCTCTTATACCACTGTCTTGGGGATTGTTTCACTCCATACAGTGATTTGTGCAGGATGCACACATGGTCAGGTTTCTTAGGGTCAATAAAACCTAGAGGTTGGCTCATGTAAATCTCCTCTTCTAAGTTACCATGCAGGAAGGCAGTGGTAACATCCATCTGTTCTAGCTCTAGGTTATAATGGGCAACAATGGAGAGCATTAACCTAATGGTTTTATACTTGACAACAGGGGAAAAGACTTCACTGAAGTCTATTCCCTCCCGTTGGGTGTAACCCTTAGCTACTAGCCGAACCTTGTACCTAGGAGGGTCAGTAGCTAAAATTCTCTCTTTAATATTATACAACCATCTGCATTTTATTAGTTTTTGGTCCTTGCGTTTGGGACCCAAGGACCAGGTTCTGTTTACCTCAAGGGACCTCATTTCCTCTTACATTGCTTGCCTCCATTTTTCCCTTTCCTTAGAGTTCATTGCTTCTTCATATGAGTCTGGTTCTGTTCTTTGAATGCCTTTTCTTTCAAGCAAAGCAGTATATATCAGTTCAGCATAAGAAAACCTGGCAGGGGGTCTTACCTCCCTCCTTATTCTATCTCTGGCAAGTTGATAGTGTTCTAGTTGTGCATGTTGAGGCTCTGGGGCATCTGCTCCAGTTTCTTCATTATCAGATCCAGGATCCTTTGGTCCTGGTTAGTTTTCTAATGCTTGTTCCTCATCAGGTTGAGGTGGTTCAGCCTGTTGACCCACAGGCTCTACCTCAATGGTTGTACTCTCAGATAGATCCTTAGTAAGTTCAGATGGGGTGTTGTTACTAGTGTTCTATCCAGTGGTTTTACAAGGGAACACCCCTTCATTAAAGACCACATCCCTGGAAATAATGATTTTTACCCCTGGTGAATTTCTGTCCTAGAGTTTGTACCCTTTGGTACCATCCTGATATCCTAGGAACACACACTTGGTGGATCTAGGCTCTAACTTTCTCTCCACTGTATGTGCATAGGCTGCACACCCAAAAATTCTCAAATGACTTAAACCAGGCTTTCTTCCTGACCATACTTCTTTAGGACATTTACAGTTTATGGCAGTAGAGGGGCTCCTTTTTATCAGATAGGCTGCAGTGGACAAGGCCTCTCCCCAGAAGGTATTAGGTAAACCTAAAGTGAACAGCAAGCATCTGACTTTTTCCAGGAGAGTCTTATTCATCCTCTCAACTACTCCATTCTGCTGAGGGGTTTTTCTCACAGTTCTATGTCTTAGGATTCCTTGCTCACTACAAAACTTATCAAATTCAGTGTTACAATACTCTAATCCATTGTCAGTCCTTAGAGTTTTCACCTTTTTATCTAGTTGGTTCTCCACTAGGGCTTTCCACTCTTGAAATTTAGACAGTGCCTGGTCCTTAGTTCTAAGGGTGTATATCCACACTTTCATGCTAAAATCATCTACAATGGACATAAAGTAACTACTGCCCCCATGAGACCTCACTCTCTCAGGTCCCCATAAGTCTGAATGTATGTATTCTAAACATCCTTTGGCCAGGTGTATGCCCTTTGGGAAACTGACTCTGTGCTGTTTTCCTAAAATGCAGTTCTCACAGAATTCTAGGGTTGATATAGTATCCTTTCCTAACATGCCCTGGTTACTTAGGATATCTAATCCCCTCTGGCTCATATGTCACATCCTAAGGTGCCATCTTTCAGTTATTGACATATTTAAGGTGACTAGAGCTGAACTTAGACAATCAGAATAATATTCTCCACATAGGATGTATAACCCATTCCTCTTTTCTCCCATCAGGATTAGATTTTGGTTTCTATACACATTTAGTCACCCATTTTTGGCTTTGTAACAGCATCCTTCCTCATCTAAGGTTCCTAAGGATATGAGGTTCCTTTTGAGTTCTGGAATGTACCTAACATGGGTAAGTCTTATTAGTTTCCCACTATAGAGTCTAAGGGTTATGCTACCTTTACCTTTAACCCTACAGGCATTGTTGTTCCCCATGAACACAGTCTCCCTATCATATTCCTCAAAGTCTTGAAACCAGTCCCTATTGGGGCTCATATGGAAAAAGCACCCAGAATCTAACACACACTCTTTTGTATTGTCAGAAACAGAGACAGTAAGCACCTCTGTTTCTCCAACTAAGTGTTTGGATGAGGCTAGGTTACTTTTTGTGTTTCCCTGCTTTTGTTTCTTAAGCCATTCAAAACAATTCTTCTTCAGATGACTAATTTTATTACAGAAAAAACATTTTCTTGACTCTGCCTTATGCTTATTGTTCCATTTACCCCGTTTCTTGTTTTTTGACCCCTGGCTAGGTTGACTGCCTTTACCAGATTGAAAGATGTCTTGTTTTCCCCTAACAAACAGGTTATTCCCATTTCGTTTTTGGACCTTTAACTCAAGTTCTCTAGCCTTAAGACCAGCCACAATCAAGTCAACACTAGGGACAGTACCAGAATACTGAAGTGCATTCTTAACTACAAGATAATCCTCGGTAATGGAGTTTAGCAGTATCATGGCTAGACTAGTTTCTCCTAATTCCTGATCTGTGCCCTTTAAAATTAAGGTCATTTTTAGGAATTCATCTAGGTTCTCCTCTATTGTCTTGTTACTATCCATTTTATATGAAAACAGAGCACCCTTGAGAAAAGCTAAGTTTGGTGCAGATTGAAGAGCATACAAAGTTTCGAGTTTACCCCATAACCCCAGTGGAGTTTCGATTCCATCAACCTTCCTTAGTACACTGTCTGAGAGGTTCATCATGATCAAATTGGAGGCTGCTTCATCAATCTCCTCATTCTCCTTCAATTTCTCCTCGAGCCATTTCTTTTGATCCTTCTCCAGTGCAAGACCGACTTTATTGTGTGAAAGCAGAGCTTTCATTTTCTTCTTCCAACTCCTGAAATCGATCTTCCCATCTTATTGGGAGATCTCCATATGGGTAGTGCTCATTGTATTATAAAGGCAGGGTAGTACAGTCTAAGGTGTAAGTGGCGTTGTTAGACCAGAAGTCACCAAGTACCGCCAAGCAGTTTTTAATGCAGTTATTGGTTTCCAGCCGATATACCCTTAAACTTGACAAAAACAAAAATGAACAATACTGGTACAACCTCTAGGCAATGACCAAGATTGCTCTCCCTAACTAGTGTTTGTGATCAAATCTCACGAATTAACCCCAAGGCTCAGCAAGATTCGAAGTCCTAAAGCTCTAGGAACCTTTGGATTGAGAAACCCCTAAAATCTGACAAACCCTAATTTTTCGAACAAAACCTAATTTTCAAATTCGTCAAAAAATTAAATGATTTCTAAAACCTAGATACACCCTAGGACGTTGGCTCTGATACCTCTGTTATGTAAACAACCAAGAAACAATCACAAACAATCACAAACAATCAAGAAACAAGAAAACACACAAACAATCAACACCGGATTTTTACCGTGTTCACTTGCCCTATTTGAGCAAGCTACATCCATGTTGAACTCCGGAAAGGGAGTTCGCTGCACTATGATTATTGAACAATCACTTACAGTCACGATTACAAGAATACGCCCAAAACCCTAGATCAAACAACTCTGATTCAAACCCATAATCTGCCCTAGGAATACTGTAACCTGGAAATTCCTATAACAAGAACACATAAGCTCTTCCCTTGACTGATTAACCCAAACCACTTAAGATACCCACGATTACAACTAAAATCAGACCCAGAAAGTAAGAACCCTAATCGAACAAAGAAAAAATGAAAAACGGCTCTCTCTCTTTTCGTTTGATCTACTGTTAGTATGAAGACTTAATCCTTTTATAGTGTTGACTGGAGGCTTGATCTCAGCTGTTAGTTTTTCCTTTGAATCAGCGGTCAGGATCATCTTGGAGCTATCTCAAAACGACACCGTTCCACTAATACTCAGTACGAAGCTGTTTCAGCATTCACTCACAACATGACACTTAGGAGATTATTGGACTAATATAATGTTGAGTTCCTACCAACAAGTTTAAACTTAGGTCTAAAGTTCGAATTTGAATATTATCCATGTTTCATGTGAAAAATTCATGTTGGTAAGTTTTTAGATGGAAAAAAAACTTAACATCTTGACTTCATTTCTGCTACCTTTGTACCTGAGCAATTAATTAAACTACATATCTGAATCGAAAAGCTTGGAAATAGTTGAATTAAGTCTTGGTACAATAGTCTTTAAGTTGCAAGTAACGTCCAAATGATCTTACATTACTTGTATGATATTTGATGTAAGACCTCAAATATTACAATACAAAGAGAATAAGTGAACCAACAAAAGGACCACACGATGCTCATGTCCCTCCCTTATCTCTGAAGTGCATATCTTACAAGCCCAGGGACGTGTGTATTGACAATGTAGTCCTCCCAATCATTGCATTTTGGATCGAAGTTAAACACATCAACTTCCTCGTCATTCTGTCTTATTATCATTCGCAATTTCTCTGAGTTTGTGTCACCAAAGCTGCACAATTGACAAGCAAATTAATGGTGCATTTAGGTTTGAATATAATATAGAAGGAGTGGATATATATATATAGACACGCACACACATACATGTCCTCAAAGAACAAGAAGGGTTTGTAGAATTCCACCACTTGTATTGCAAATTTGATTTTCCGATCAGAATCAATACAAATATCCTCATATATATTTTTGGCATAAAACTGAACTCACCAATTTGAGTACTGTTGTGTGTGATGTTTCCATCAAGCTTGGACAAGTCATAGTTTTGCGAGGTAATAGCTCAATCCAGAATCAGTTCGGCTCAAACGATTGTCCGACTCAACATAAGCTTGTCGAGATATAACTTGACCTAGCATAAGTTAGTCGCGGCCAATCTCGACAGTTGTTCACAGATAAACTCAGATTCTGGATATCTTGGAAGGGATCAGAGCAACAACAATGACGATGCAATCTCAGCGCTTAATCACAAGGATATCGGAGTTGCATCACAATCTTGATTGTAATCTCTTTATTTTGATATTTCTTTTGTACAAAACTTGTATATAAACCCCTTCCAACGATGGAAAAGGGGTTAGAAAATTGTTCTAGGAATTCTATTACTTTTTGGTGAGCTCTCATAGCAAATAAAAACAACAGTAGATGTAAGCTCAAGATTATAACTTGTCGAACCACTTTAAAAACCACTTTGTCATTTATATTAATGCATTATTTTACATCATTTGCTGGTTATCATTAATTATGCACACATCCGTTCCGATTCCGTTAAAGTCAATTGGATCACTCTAGTTGATGTGAATCTCGTATCAACAGGTACCTCCAGATAGGACATAAAGAAATGAAAATTAAATTATAATAAATTAATAGTGATTGGAAGATGCAAGGTGTTAAATTAGAGAGAAAACCAAGATGATAAATATAAAAAGTTAAATAAATTTGGAACACATTGTCAAAAGAACAAACCTTCAGTGGTAACACATATCTAATAGCCATGCTCAAGCGGAATCTGGTTGCTGTTTTCAGTATTTTAAACTTGCCAGTTGTAGCTGGCTTCCCATTTTTATTAATCAATGGACGTTTAGCAAAATACCAGATGCTAAAATCTTGAGGATTCGAGAAGTTTAAAGGGTTTCTCATAGATGACACAAATTGATAAATAATTTGAGAGGACTGGTTGGCATTTGCCATCATAGCTACGATTATTTGACTCACCACCATGTCCGCTGGTATCTGCGAGATTATGATTTCATGAATTTAAAAAGTTTGCAAAAATGTAAGACAGTACGAGAAATAGATATTGACAAACAATAAGGTTAAATCATAATGTTGACGCTTGATTTTGGACGCCAACGACTCGCACGTGGGAAACGCTGAGCTGACTCAGGAGACACACGTGATGGATCCATGGGATTTGAATATGGAGCTGAGATTATATATTTTGCAGAAAAATGAATAAAAGATTGGCAAGAGGGGTTTTTATAGTGGTTCGGATGCAACAAGCGACTCCTACATCCACTGTTATTTTATTTGATCTCTCCCTACTTCTATGAATTTGCCCGTAAGCAAACAAAGATGAAGAAATACAGTGTTTTTACAGAGAGAAAGAATTGAAGCTAAATCTCAGACCAGCCTCCCTTCTTCGGGAAGAGGAGTGCCCATTTATTCACCTTTGCACTCAATGCCATGAGAGCTTTTGCAAACTGCCTTGACACATGGAAGGCTCTCGTCCATTCATCTCTTTGAAATGAGATAAAGTTGGTGAGAATATCTTTGGAGATATGGGCTTGGCAGCTGGTACAAAGAGACATTAATTGTGCTGACATAGGCTTGACTTTTGAGGCATAACACATAACATGCATTTTTGTTAGTATATGAATATTCATAATAAAGAGTTGACCTCACCAAATCGTGGATTGTGTCAGGTTTGCCCGGCAAGAAATTTAGTTTCCCTTTACCAAAATCAAGAATCCGTCTATCAACAGTTCTGTACCGACCAAAATCATTATAAGGTATACGTTATACATATAAAACCTTATTTATGACGAATTGACAATGAATCAAAATAGAATACAAATCATGAAAAAGACAATAATTAATTGATATAATCATCTTCATTTCATGATGTTATTATCTCAAACCTTCAATCCAACCTGCAAAAGGTTGGCTATAGGTACTGGTGACTATGGTGGGGCGAGTAATGACAAGAGGCAGGTCATCTCTATAGTCTCCTAATATCATCTCTTCCATTGCCTTTGTAAACACGTATGTGTTTGGCCATCCATAATATCTTGCCCTGTTAAATGAGGAAATTATTCTTATTAAGTTTGTGAATTTGTTGTCAAGTGTGATTCGTGGAAAGAGATAAATTATTGTTTCACTTCTTCTCTTTCAATTAACTTCTTGATAAAGTTTCAAGTTTGGACAAAACTTGAAAGGATTGTTGAAATATCCTTGTTTAAATACATGTTAAATGGATTTATTTATTGGTTTATTTCAAGCATGCATGATTTCTTTTTCATTATTACTTCTATTACTTCATGTAAATTGTCTTGTGATTTGTTTTTATAATAATAATAGTAATAATTTATGGAAAGAGGATTTTACTTTATCGTATGTACATTATTTGTATGCTAGAACACAGAACGGTTCATTCTTTAAAGTTCAAGCCTTTTGATGCCTAAATCTGCACGGTTAAGGTAACTTCTTTTTCGGTGGCCTCTTCAGCTTGAAGTTGATTCAATTTTTTTTCCTATCAATTTTTTTTCTGCTGTAATATCCAATTTACAAGTCCTTTGAAGAGTTTCAACATTTCATTTTGAAATGGGTTTTCCAGTAAAACTCTTGATTTTTTGCCGCCGTACACATAAGCTGGAAATATAATAAAAAAAAAAAAAAGAAAGTAACTATTGGTCGAAGTTAATGATAGCTCCAATCTATTTGGCAATACGCTATAATATAGAAAAAAATGAAAATAAAAAATGGAGAGTCATACCTTAAATAAAATAACTTAGTGATGATCTAGTTTCTTTCATTTGTCATTATATCATCCGAAATCATGAATATAAGGAAAAAAAAAAGATTATGAAATTATTACTTAGCTATTTGAAATTAAAATTTACCAGTTGATACATGAAGAAGAACATTTATTTTGATACATTTCTTTGCAAAACTCAAAGCATGTGGAGCCCCCATTGTATCGGTGTTCAAAGCAATGTCATATCTACAAAATAAAAACAAATCAACAAGAATTTAACTATAATGTGATAAGTAATTATGATAAGGGAAAAAAAAGAAAATAAGATTTAATTTCCTCCCTTGAAATTTGGTTGTTGCAGAGAAATTTACTACTAAGTCTGTTTGTCTTTCATTTCTTCCATTAGTTTGTAATCTTTTACTCCCAAGTTCTCAGTAGAAATGTCACCGGCTATCGCAACTACCTTTTCCGATAGAAAAGATTTTAGATTGTCACCGAGTTTATCTCTCAATACATTAAACAATTCCTTCTCAACACATTATATGCTCATATGATTTTATCGGTTGTGGAAGTAATAAGCATGCAACTTAAAAAAAAGGTAAGACTTTTATTTGATGCTTATATTCGTAAACAAACTATATATTATAAACACATACCTCATCAAGAATTCGTTTTGTTGTGCAAGGATGGGTAATCAACTCGGAGATGAGCTATAGCTGGGGTCAAATAGCAAAGTGGCAATCAGATTGGAGCGAGCTATTTGACAGTTATCTTTCAAATCATAGATATGCATTATCTCCTAAAATCAAGGAGAAGATCACGGGAACAGTCCCTGCAGTTTCGGCCTATGAACCATGCCAAGAATCAAGAGATTAACTTCCGAAAATCATGCCATTATCCCTAAATTCCTCTTGTAACCATTGCAATTTCATAGTATAAAACCCTTAAATAATAATTGTGAGATGATGAGAAAATCTTGAGAGCAGAGATTTTTATTGTAAGGCAAAAACTATTGAATAACATAATATGGAAGTAGGCTTGATTTCAACTTGTCGAATCACTTTAAAAATTGTCTTTGTTTCTTTACTTTCTTTCTGATTATTACTAATCATGCTCACATCTTACTCAATTCCTCCAAGGTCAATTGAGTCTCACGGGTTGCTGCAGATTTTTGTAACAACATTTTGGTGTTAGAAGGAGGGCCCCAACGACAATTACAGTCATCACATAGCATTCATGGCTAGAGGTGGAACAAATGGGTCGGGTTAGGCGGGTCAACCCTAACTCGACCCACATTAAAGAAGGTTCAACCTGGACTGCCTATAAGGTGGGCCGGGTTGAACCCAACTTGTATGCAACCCCTGGACGGGCTGCGTTGTTTTTTTTTTTTTTTCTTAAAAGTACCCGCCAACCCGTCGGGTTGAAAATTTCAACCCGACAGTTTGGCCGAAAAAAAATAATTTTTTTTTTAAATACCCTTTTTACCCTTGAAATATAGTTGTTTTATAGCAGTTGGATGGGTCTTTTTCGTCATTTTCTTTTCCAATTTTTTTCCTATAAATAGGCCCTAAACTCTCATATTTTCTCACATCCCAAATTCTCTCATTTTCTCTAATCTCTATTGAAATCTCTCAATTATTCTCCTTGTTGTCAATTTGCTCTCATTTTAATTTTTATTAGTTTTTGCAATTTTCAATTCATATTTCCAAATTCCAATTCTCCTTCTTTAATTTTTTTATTTCTTCTATATTGAATTTTTTTTTTTTAACTATAATGGATAGATATTTCTATCCCGTCAATTCCGATGATGAAGGAAACTACTATCCTAGTCCCCCTAAATTTACTAACATAAATGTAGTAGATTCAAATAGTCCCGCTTTCCTAGTCTCAGAATCTGATACACCTCATAATATTCCTCCGATTCCTCCCCATGCTGCTATAGCTCCCGGTGGTTTTAGAAGTCGTCCTCGTAATCGTCGTTCTCATCCAACTTCATCTCAAGCTAAAGCGGGTTCATCAACTACTGTCGAAACCGACAACAGACACACATCATACTTTTGGGTGCATTTCGATAAGTTTTACGAGACAGAAAGTGGAGTTCAAGTGAAGAAAGCAAGATGAAAGTATTGTGGAAATATTTATAAAGCTGATTCAGGTAATGGTACTTGTACTTTAAAAAGATATGCTAATAAACATATTGCTCAACATGGAAATAGAGAAACCAATCAAACTCAAATAACTAATATGGGTACTACTTGGTGTTATAGTCCTGATGTATATAGGGAACAATTAGCTTTTACATTGCTGCAACTGATCAACCTATTAATATGGCTGAAGATAAATATTTTGAAAGATTTATTAAAAATTCATTTTTTCTAGGATTTCAAAGTTATTCTAAAACTGCAACTAGAAATGATTTGATAAAATTGTTTGGGAAAATGAAATTAGAATTAAAAAATAAAATACATAGTTGTCATGTTAGTGTGGCTCTAATTGCCAATATTTGGAGTGGTAGAGCTAAACAAGATTATATTTGTGTGACTAATCATTATTTTGACAACGAATGTAAATTAAATAAATCTTTATTAGGATTTAGATTAATGGATGTGGATCATAGTGGTCAACAAATTTATAATAAAATTGTTGAAGTTTTAGAAGATTATGATGTTATTAATAAATTGATAAGTTTAACTTTAGATAATGCAAGTGCTAATAGTACAGCTATAGATTCTTTAAAATTAATTATCCTTTTTTTAACAATTTGAAGTTTTTTCACCAATGTTGTGCATGTCACATTATTAATTTAATTGTGAAAAGTGGTATGAAAACAATTAGAGATAATATTGATAGAATTAGGGATTCTTTAGCTTAGATTACTAGTAGTAATAGAAGAAATGCTGAATTTCAAGATGCTTGTATAAAATCAAATATGTCTCTTAGAACTTTTGCATTAGACGTGCCTGTTAGATGGAATAGTACTTATTTAATGCTTGATTCATGTTTACCTTATGCAAATTTAATTAGTTATTTTGTAGCAAATAATAGAGGTCCTCATTATTTGTTTGAAAATGATTTGTATATAGCTAAATTATTTCATTCTTTTCTTAAAATTTTTTACCAATCCACTTTACAACTTTCTGGTGTGTATTATCCTACTAGTCTATTGGTAATACATACAATTATAAAAATATCAGAGTTATTTAGAAAAAACAAAAACAATGAAATTTTAGAGAGACCAATAAAGGCAATGGAATTTTTTTTTTTTAAAAATATTGGAAACCCATTCCTTTTCTTTATTGTTTAGGTGCTATAGTTGATCATAGAATTAAAGTAGCAGGTTTAGAAAATGGTTTAGACACATTAACTGAAAATTTACAAAACGAAGCATATGCCAATCAACTAGGAGAGGTAAGAGAGTGTCTTGCAAAGGTATATTTTCAATATGAAAACAGGTATGGGAACCCGCAAACAGGCAAAATACCCAGTGAAGTTGCATAAGAAGAAACAAATGAAGACTTCTACTCTTAGAGTGCATTTAATAGGCCGAAGAGGACCGAACTCGAAGCACAGCCTCCTCTTTAGAAGCACGAACAACGAATATACTGTCCTCCATGCAGTCACAAAGTAAAGAGCTTCAACAATATTTGGGAACTCCCGAAATATTACCAGTAGATCCACAACAAAGAGCCAACTTTAATGTCTTAGAATATTGGAAAACCAGAAAATGTATTTTTCCCGTATTATCAAGATTTGCCTTGGATGTTTTCGCTGTTCTTGTCTCAACCGTCTCATCCAAACAAACATTTAGTACAAGTGGAAGAATTTTAAATGAAAGGAGGACTAAACCTTCACAAAAAAATGATTGAAGTCCTCACATGTCTTGGAGATTGGGAACAGTCGCACCATCAAGATCAATGGGAGGTTGTCGACGATACTTTAATAGAATCATTTCAATTTTGTGATATAGATGATACAAATGAGGGAGGTCCTAGTCAACCCCCAAATTAGTTGTTTTGTAAATTGTAACTTGTAAATTAATTGTCAATTACTGCACTCTTTTTTCTTTACCAAGTTTTTGTCCCATTTGGTTTTTCTTGGTGAGGTTTTTAACGAGGTAATAATTATTGTAATTTCTTATTTTATTTTTTGATAAATGAATAAATCTAATTTTTCTTATATTACAATTTTATTGTATTAAAATTGAATTAATATTTGAAATGTTAACAAAAAAAAAAATTAATTTAATTTAATGGAATTATTGATATTTGAAAAGTTAACTAAAAACAATTACACAAAACAAAACAAAAGAAAAAATTAAATTAAAAAAAAAGAGGGGGGCTAGCCTGGCCCAGCCCGCAGCATAACCCGCCGGGTTAAGGTTGGCGAGCCGAGCTGGGCCAGCCAACCCTAACAAGTGACGGGCCTAACCTGCCAAAACCTTTAACTCGCTGTGGGCCGGGCAGGTTACTTTTCCAATGTTATTCATGGCACGTACCAGATCATACAGGGTTATAGTCCATATGCTTGAGAAGACTTGGGATCCCATGCCAGGGGACGCCGCGATTACGTCTTTGATGGCGAAGACATTTGCCTGTCGTGTTTAAACTCTGTGAGGGCATTGCAGTATGTAGAGACCAAGGCGGACTAGTCCCTGGTGCTAAGGCTGTAGCCGAGCTGAGTAGCTCGTAAGCTACTCAGGCTTGGTTTTTGTTGAGCCTAGGCTCAGCTCGGTAATTCTCGAGCCGAACCCGAGCTCAAGTTTGCTTTGAAACTCGTATAATTATATGAGTTGAGTTTGATCGCAGTGTTGCTCGACTTGTAGAGCTTGCAAGTTCAGAAAAGATCGCGTATTTTAAGTCATTTCCCTAGAAATCGATCCCTATGTCAACTATGCCCCAAAACCAAATCACTAAATGCATTTTCTTAGAGAAACTTGAAATTCCCAAATCACATATTCAGCTACAAAGAAGAAAAAATAAGAAACAAAACCAATTAAATCCAATCATCCATGTAGACTGTGTAGTCCATCGAAGCATATGGAATGCTTCTTTTAGACACTCAAACTCTAAAGAGAAAAAAATGATTTGGAAAAAAAAAAAAAAAAAAAGAGAAAGAAGACTTGTTGTAAACTTCTTGTGGTAGGTGGCGACAAACTTCAACTTGTAGAGGATAAGAGAGATGAGCAAATGAAAGAGAGGGAAGGATAAGAAAGGACTAAATCAAAGATAAGAGATGTGAAAGATTAA